CTACCAAGGAAGAGCTTGTTGATTTTCTTACCGGCTAAGAGTCACACCGGCGCAGATTACGAATTCACGCTTCAACACTCCTTTATTGAGCGTTTTTAAAACATCGCCTTTGATTTGTAGATCGACCTGGCGCACGTCTATACGGTTAAGGTACAGTCAAATTGTATTTTCGATTCAAGTTAGCTCGTTCAACTTCATTGTTAAAAAGCAGTGTTATCGATTTGAGTTAATATATAATAGTTTTATTGTACGCTTGATATATTGTCTTGGTGTTGGTGGCATTGAAAGTAAAGAATATACTAAATTTTCAGTAGTAAACATCGAAAATAGATGAACATATTTCAGCATTGAGGAAAAAAAATCATCTGGGAGTTTTGCCGTTGATATGGTTTGGTAGCCAAGGAATTAGATTTGCATTCTGTATAAATTATTCATTATTCTTCAATAAAATCCCGCTTGCGTTCTGGGGAAGCTGCAGTAGTCATCTTTGGTTTTACAGAAAGGTGCTATCCAATATATTGTTGTAAATCATCCCTTGAAAAAAATAACGCCTGCCGCTAGTCTTCGCCAATCGATTGTAACTCAGCCAAGGTCGCGATCAACTCGACTTGCGTTTCTCGATGTTCTAGATGTCGCGTCGCTTCGAGAGACTTCCAGAGACTTCTCTTTAGGCTTCTAGAGTCTTCCATTACGATATATAAACACTACCAACCGGCAGATCGGAGTAGTCTAGTTGAAAGTGCGGTACGAAGTGATCTAATAAGGCAACAGACATTTGAATAAATCTAAAGCTTCAGTTGAAGTGTTTGTGTTGTATTGCCAGCGTTTCTCGATGTTCTAGATGTCGCGTCGCTTCGAGAGACTTCCAGAGACTTCTCTTTAGGCTTCTAGAGTCTTCCATTACGATATATAAACACTACCAACCGGCAGATCGGAGTAGTCTAGTTGAAAGTGCGGTACGAAGTGATCTAATAAGGCAACAGACATTTGAATAAATCTAAAGCTTCAGTTGAAGTGTTTGTGTTGTATTGCCAGCGTTTCTCGATGTTCTAGATGTCGCGTCGCTTCGAGAGACTTCCAGAGACTTCTCTTTAGGCTTCTAGAGTCTTCCATTACGATATATAAACACTACCAACCGGCAGATCGGAGTAGTCTAGTTGAAAGTGCGGTACGAAGTGATCTAATAAGGCAACAGACATTTGAATAAGTCTAAAGCTTCAGTTAAAGTGTTTGTATTGTATTGCCAGTGTACCAGTGAAATAAAGTTGAGTTTAATTGTACCGTGTAGGCATTTATGGTCAAATCCACGGGGAAAACGTACCAATATGTTGAGAGTTGATTATATAGCGACTCTTGCGATATAGGTATGTATTATTTTGAAACTTGACTCATGATACTTGTCCATTAGTCCAAGTCTCTGAGAAACACAGCAGCCTCATAGGATCATTGCCTCTCTCCACCATCTTTTTCATTTCACCCACTCCAACAATATTGTCCCTGTACTAGTTTGAACAGGTCCCCTGCTGGCAGCATGTCATATTTTTCTGAACATGATTTTGATTGTCCATGAATTGTTTTGACTTCCATGTTAATGTGCCTCACATTTATATAAAATATGACGGGCCATCACTGTTCCTGTGTTACACTGCCTGCAGGTTGGGTCTCCGCGTTGTACAGCCCCATTTTGCTCAGGTGTCCTCTCAATGACACCTGAACAAATTGTGAGTAGGCCTGCATTTGTTCTGAACTGATCCCTGGTTTGTTGAAGCAGCTATTTGGTTCTTTTCTTGGACGGTCTCTGTAAAAAAGTTTTCCCTTGTGTGTTCCGGAGTATATTTTCCCAATAATCTAGGTTTCTTATGGACCCACTTTCCAATCTGGTTCCGTACCAAAGACTACGGTACACCCACAGCTGATTCAGGGCTGATATACAGCTTTTTCATTGCCTGCAATACCTTAATGTCCTGGCACCCAATATATGTTGAATTTATTTGTGTTCGCCAGTTTCTTGGAGTCTTGACGATATTCCCAGATCAGTCTGAATGCCACTCTTCGTTTCGTCAGTGACCCAAGTGCTGTCTGTGGAAATATTGAGCCACTCATTTCGTTGGGGCCTCAAATTAATGTTGCTTGTGCGTTGCAAGCCTGGAAACACCCTTTGTGGTATTAGCCAGAGGAGATGTAGTTTTCTGATAAGTGTCAGTCCATTAACCTACAGGTAAGGTGGTTAAAATTGGTGAGTCTTTCACATAATATAATTATAGAATTTTTACAATAAATTTTATTTAAAACGTGTTTTGCTACACAGTTGCTTCGTCAATTACTGGTACATTCAGTACCAGTTTGAATTGACCCATCCTTGCTTTCCCCATTATCACTAGATATGAAGGAAGAATATTCAAGAATATCTCCATCGCAGCTGTGGAAGTGGTTTTCATTGTTCCCGTTATTTCCACAAATGTGAGTCTCTGCACCCTGCTTATTTTTTTAGTAGAAGTCGTTTGTTTCATCTTTGGCCACCAGACCATAGATGCATATATTGTCATGGGTAGACATGTCTGGTTCAAGTCCCCAGCCCCGCCTTTCTTTCAACTCTTTCTAGATGTTGGTTCCACGGGATCCAGCACCAACTTGCTTCCTTCGATATGTAACAGAGGAACTTGATGTTGCAAAAGAGAGCGTTGGGGTCATTTATTTGTGATCCATCTTCTCTGTACACACAGGGTAGTATGGTTACTTTAGGGCAGATCCCACATAACTATGTCTAGGCTTTCTATGACAGTATACGCACACACATTTTAGAATACAGCCATCATTTGAGTGCCAATCGGTTGAGAAATAATACCACTACGAGTGATCCTGTCGTTTCCATATCCAGCGGTGAGGAAGAAGATAACCAAGAGTTGAATTTGCTTTCTATTTGATAACCCAAGGTATCGGACACTCAAAAAGCAGCGAGTGATAGTGAGTGAGACAATGGACAAATATATTATCATGATAATGATGATATATCAATTAATATTACCATGAGGTAATAATGATTAGGAATAAATATTCAAGTTGAATCTAGGCATGAAAAACCTGATATATTTGAAAAAATATGTTGAGAACTTATTCAATATAATAAAAAAATTCAAGTAGCTTATACGTCAAGTAATTTTTCAGTGAAAAACTTTATATGAATATACATCTTGGAAGAGTCCAAAGTATTAGTCGAAATATTTTATACCCAGTATGAGTAATTTTCCAGTGCCCAACCTTATCTGTAGGGGCGGTAGCTTTTGATACTGGGATTGATTTAGGATTGCGGATAGAAAATATATGAAATAACTTCAATAAATCAATATCCTTTATCAAATCGCTCAGTAGGAAAGTCTATAGAAATTTCAACTACACAAATTCCTCTACGAATTTTTTCACTCACCTCTGAATATTCCTGAAACTGAATATTCTTCTGACTCGATGAACAACCGCACTACAAAGCTCTTTGAAAGGCACTTGGAATTAGCAAATATTTTCGATATTTTCTTGGATAACGACTCCAAGAAAGATCAATCAGTAAATAAGTATATGGGTAAATACCCAAATTCTCGCTATTGAATACGCCCTCCCGATTTGACAGATGTCAAATGATAAGAAGAAAACAGAAAATCGGCGAAAAGTATTGCCAAAGTCGAAATATTATATTTAACAGTGCACAAGAAATTATAAGAATAACCGAACACAGAAAATTATTCCAGTTTACGAGTTTCGTAGAGTTATTTCTTTTTTGAAGTACTTGAATTGACTTGACCGTAAAATTCTACGTTTTGAGTCTTGTAGATGAAACAATTCATCAACAATGTATCAATAACATGTACATGGGTAGTAAGGATAGCCCATGTGAAGCCGAAAATATAATGAATAACTTCTGCTTCAAAATAATAAGTGTGCGTGTTCCAGAAAAAGCATATATTCTATTAGAAACTTATTTTTCTCGTTGTCTCTTCTGCATACATTTTGCACCAATCTTGCATTAATCAAAAGTAAGTTATTAATTACATTTTACAAGTCCATACAACTCAAAACCTCAAGTGTAGATCTTCAAAACTATCGTATTTATTTTTTATCAATTGTTCACATATTTATGGTCAGTTGATGAGTATTCACATATCTCGCAGGGCAATACCACTCAGAAATAACCTTTTCAAGGTACTCTATATTGGGGGCTGTAGATAATCATTCCTTAGAGCCGTAGGGGGCTGTATGGCATGATTTAGTTGTTAGAAACACAAGTTTGAAAATGCACAATATTCTCTATTGATTGCACGTTGCGTCAACATAATATCTAAAAGGGAAGTAATATATATGTCATAACAATTACAAACTATTACATATGGAATATAACTTATTCAACAATGCCACCATAGGAAAGTTTCCCAAAAATCGTAAATCCTTATCACAATTGTAACAGACCTCAATTACACAAATCCCCAAAGATGGTTCATTTTTGTTGGCAAAATATGTGTGTTTCTTATTTGGGTAATTGAGATGTGTTCATATTCTATGATTCTTAAATTCTTGTTTAAGATGTAGTGGAAATGAATAAACAATGTAGCATTCATTTCTCTATCTCAAAATATATTATTCCAACCAAGAACAACAAGTTGCAAAGTTATCAGTTAATAACATTTTCAATATTCTATAAATGAAATTTTGGGCACCTAAACCTTTGAACTCAATGAAAATCAAACGATGTATACATTTTGACTAAACTTTATGTATATCTATATGTTTTGTTTTTTATCAAATTTGAGTTTTCGAAGTCTCACACAAAGAACTTAGGTTGGCAATATTGAATGAATTCTTTCAGCATTCTAAATCATACGAAATCGAAATTGAGCAGTGGCAACCGTGACTGACATGAACTTAACCATACTTTACGAATAATTTTTAAAAATGTTTTCCATTTTCATTTTTATTGGTATGGAATGTAACTAAAATATTTCAAGGATGAGTGAAGAGAGTGATAAAAGACAGAAATTTGGAAACCGCTTCCTGACCGAAGAAAATGATGTCTTCGAACATAATGCATGGTATGAGAAATGATCTGGGCATCACTAATAACATATAATCTATAAATTAGGCCTAATTCCCTATTTTTGGAATATCCTTCATATAAATACCTTCTGATAATTGCAGGGATGATGTCCAGTGGAATGAAGAACAGGAAAACGCTGCACTCGTTAAGGTTAAAGCGAATAGTGAGGTGAAGTTCACTGATGATGAAATCGATAAGTACGAAACAGAGGCTGACAAATATTGGGACGCTTTCTACGATATCCACACAAACAGATTCTTCAAGGATCGCCACTGGCTGTTTACTGAATTTCAGGAGCTTGAAGACTCCAACACTGAAGACAAGAAAATTTTCGAAATTGGATGTGGGGTAGGAAATACTATATTTCCCATTTTGCAGTATTCCACAAATCAAAACCTTAAAATTTACGGTTCTGATTTTTCCTCCAGGGCTATAGACATTTTGAAAAATGCCCCAGAGTATGGCGATGAAAGATGTGAGGTATTTGTTCTGGATGCAACCAACGAAACATGGAATGTACCATTTGAGGAAAATAGTATTGATATTGTCATATTGATTTTTGTGCTATCTGCCGTCACTCCTGAAAAGTAAGGCCTTTCTCAAATCAACATACATTTAACAAATTTTTTTTCTGTCTCAAATTTTGATGAAATTTGGTATATTGGTTATCTTAATGTAGACTAAGAAAAATTCACAATGTTAGATTAATATCTGAATTATTTTTCTAAAATATAGCTATGTAAAGTTTTCAGAAAACCTTTCGCAGCTCAATAAGAGTCAAGACGGAAAGTTTTTTCAAAGTATGAATTGAAATTCTGAATGTTAGTTTCCAAGAAGTTATGGTGGGACAGTAATGGGTTCATACTTGAAAAAGTTATTGAAAATGCCTATTTTGCTCGTTGGTGGAATAAATACTGTGTGGCTAGTAAACTTCTCAAACATTGATATAAAGAAACTGTAATTTTGATATCCAAAATCACTTAACGACATATAGTAATAAGCTGAAAAGAGGCAGAAAATTAAAATGGAGTGCAAAATTCTCTATCGTGGAGTACACACATAGTGGAAGACGGAAAGTTTTTTCAAAGTATGAATTGAAATTCTGAATGTTAGTTTCCAAGAAGTTATGGTGGGACAGCAATGGGTTCATACTTGAAAAAGTTATTGAAAATGCCTATTTTGCTCGTTGATGGAATAAATACTAGCCACTAAACTTCTCAAACATTGATATAAAGAAACTATAATTTTGATATCCAAAATCACTTACCGACATATAGTAACAAGCTGAAAAGAGGCAGAAAATTAAAATGGAGTGCAAAATTCTCTATCGTGGAGTACACACATAGTGGAATAAATATTTATTGAGATATGAAGCTACAAAAACACATTACATCAAAACAGACCAAACTTTTGAAACAACTTAAAAAACGTGCTAAAAAAACGATCATCCCAAGAAACAATTAGCTGTGATGAATATGAAATGAATAGCTTCATGGGTCTTCAGTATCTGTGTAACTGGGTTAACTTTACAAAGAATGTTTATGACACATAGCCACAAACTCACTCCATACAGAAGATTTGAGAAAAGTGAGTTTGATCTCATAATTTTTTCCACTTATTATCGTACATTGCTGTAACGTCCCCACTTATGTCTCATGATTGAAAAGTTTCTGAAGCATTCAACATCTCAATTCTTGAATTACGACGAATTTGAAAATGGTTTGACTATCATTCTTGACGTGCATGTTGGTCAGGGGATAAAAGAATTAAGTTTCTGAGTACCTTTGATCATCAGAGCATAACTAAAGCATTTCCCCAAGAATATTTTCGAGTCGATTTGTTCTTCTTGGGCAGTGAATTCAAAGTTCATAGAATTGTTTTTTCAACTACCCAGTTGGAGTAGGATTTGATTGTTGAAGGGACTCTGCAAACTTGTTTGTAGCTAACCTTTTTGACTGCATCCTTAATAACATCGCAAGGCTCTTTACCATAAGTAGTTGCAAAGTAGTGCCATTCGCCGTCAAAAATAAATGATTTTCTTGACAGGCCTATACCTGTGATCTGCAGATGTAGGTTTTTTTCACTGAACATTCTAAGTGAATGATCGGTAGAAGAGTGCATTTCATAGTTTGTATGATGAGAATATTGACATGGTCTAGTATACATGATGCATGTAAATAAATAAATATAAATATATTACACAGTACATTTGGAGGCTAAAGATGAAAGATGAAAAAACAGATAACAATTACTGAAATAAAAAAAAAACAATAAAAAACTGCAATGACGGGCTAATAGAAATTGAAAGAGAGATATTCCTCAATTGAATAAAAACAATTATCCAGTGAAGTATTTGACTTCAACTTTAAATGAGTTAATACCACCAACGGACCTGAGATGATCTGTTACAGCATTATATACTTTGGTTGCTTTGTAATCAGCTCCCCTTTCAAACAAACTAGAAACATCAAATCAAAATATGGTTAATTATCCAAGATTGGAACATCTTATCTAGTAAAGTAAAATGTGTATTTGAGACATTAAATTACCAAATACAAGCTATAAAAATATGCCTAGAGACAAGAGCAGTGTATATGGGCAGAACAATATTAAGCCCAGCTGAACAGATACAAATATAAGTACATGAATATTGAATAACAAAAAGAGCTGTAGTTTCAATTCAAAAATGACGCGGTAGGTCAAAATTTTGTGTTATTTAAAAATTCAACACAGTTACATTTGGAAACCGCTTTCAGATAATGGGGCGTGGGACCACCTCCGCAGCTAGGTACAGCCTTATGTTATTTCAAACAGTGAGGGTGAGACTAATGAGTGATTTTCCGTGTACGCTTCATCTAAGTTGCCACATTCACATGGTGAAATTTGTGGGCCTGCATCTAGATGTGGACAAGGGCCACCTCGCACCTTGTGACAGCGGCCTGAAAGTAACTCAAGTACCGGATTACTTCAAAATCTGAGATTCGACATGGAATGAGCAAAGTATGTTTTTTTTTCAGATTTCCTCACATAGTTAAACAAATTCATAAATACCTGAAACCAGGAGGATTGTTATTATTTCGAGATTACGGCAGATATGATTTAGCCCAACTGAGGTTCAAACCGGGACGCAGTTTATCAGATAATTTTTATGTTAGAGGAGATGGAACACGTGTATATTTTTTCACACAAGGTAAGTTTTAAAGAACAGTATTAAAATGACGACAGACAAACCTCTGATTTGTTCTCGATGAAAACCACTTTTCCGCACACAGGAAACCGATAGTTTTAGTCATCACCTGATTTTGCTAACTTGGTTAGCAAAACAAGTGTCGAGAGATTGTGTTTCAGTTCTGGTGTTTCTTGCCAGAGTTTCCAACTTCACATATTATGTTTTGATTTGGTTGTTCATCTTGATTAAATGTCACTTGCCGTGAATCTAAATAAGCTTCTTTGATTGACGACTTGTATATTTTGTTGAAATTCATGTTCACTGAGGATACACTATAAAAATACACTGTTGTCTATTTTCCACGAAAGTTTTATATTTTTTGACTAGTTTCGGTCATTACACCATTTTCAAAACTAACTAGATTACATTCAAATCTGAGTATTTATACCTACATTGCCTATACCTATCGTAAATAATTTGATACCTAAATTGTCCATACCTGGAATAACCTTAATTAACAGCGGTATATCAATGAAAATAACAAAAAATTTTGATAAAATGTAACTCAGTTCCCAAAACCTAAGTTTTATTAAAATGTTTGTTATGTTCATCGATATACTGCTATTAATTGAGGTTATCCCAGCTATAGACAATTTAGGTATCAAATTAATTTATGATAGGTATAGGCAACGTAGGTATAAATACTCAGATTTTAGTGTAATCTAGTTAGTTTTGAAAATGGTGTAATGAACGAAATTAGTCAACAAATGTAAAACTATCGTGGAAAATAGACAACAGTGTGTTTTTATAGAGTATCCTCAGTGAATCTAAATAAGATAATTCTCTTTTTCCTCAAAAAAAACATTAATAATAAGTCATATTTATTATGCAAGATATAAAAACAAAAATTGAAAGAATACCATTTTATATACATCATGAAGAACATATTCAGTATAGCACCAAATGATATAAAACAGACAAAGACATTATATGCATATAAAAAAAGTATACAATTGATTATTCATACATTGACATATTTGTAATTGACAAAATATTAATTTATTGTGATCATAAAAATTAATTATCAAAATTGATACCTATAACAAGTATTCAAAAAATTAATAATACAATCTTGTTTGAATCGAAAGGGTTTATTTAGGAGAGATTAATTTCTGGGAAAGAAAGTTTTTGGCCTTCTACTTCTTCATCTTGATACAAACAATGTGGAAATCTTCCTAAGAAAGGAAAGAATCAATTTATAAAATTAAATCTATACAAAGATTTGTAGATCATGCAAAGAAGTAACTTTCAGATACAAACTGGAAAAAATCACGAAACAGCTATTTTCATATAAACATTGTATTACACGAAAGAAAATTACTTTCGAAGTAGAAGGCCAAAAAGTTTCTTTCTCGAATAATACAAATTTCTCTCCTCTGTTAATACAGTAAATATTAATACTTCAATTGCACACTTTTTGGAGTTGGTGTATGCCGTTGCAGCACAATATATTTGGTTAAAGCAGCAAAGGAGAAAGTGCACGCTTATGACACTATAATTCCGATCATTTCAACAGGGAATACTATCATAACTTGCGTATAGTACCTAACAATGGTGACACAATTCCTATCTTATCACGTTTTGTTTTGTTTCAAAAAATTCAATAATATTAAAATGGACAATAAAACAGTTCTTTTAATAAATGTTCACCAAAATTAAAGATAAAACCCCTATCAGTTGTCAATCAAATGTAATATACTCTATCCCTTGCTGTCATTGTGACAAGATATACGTTGGGCAAACGTCCAGAACAAGGATTGTTTTCCATTTTGTGAAATAATAATTCAAACCCAACTAGAATAAGTATGATATTTCACTGAAAACATTGCAATTTTTGGTGAAAATAATTCAAAAATATATTTTTTTAATCCTAGAGACTAACAGATAACGTCCCATAACATTTGACTTTGCTCTCATTTTATCAGAACAAAAAAAAACATTGGCGAAATGATTCGTTTGTTCAACAATTAAAATGATTAGTTCATCATCAATGATTGAGCAAAAAAAATCAGTAGGTTGTTTATTGCCCGGAATTGTTTGTAAAAGTTTTTTCTTCAAACAACTAAAAACTTTTTCATACCTCCCAGTATCTTAGTTTACTTCGAAATGTCATCGACCACATCATTTGAAACTTCCAATTGTTGAAGTGGTACGCCTCATAGAATATTTTTAGTAACAAGTACCATTAGAAACAATTATTACATTCCTCACTAAGCTCTTTCATCATGTTCTCCTCATATGTGATGGAATTGGCAGAAACTTGATGAAAATCCATAACTTATTCAAGTAACTCTTTATTGTGAGTTTTTTACTGAACAGTTTACAAAACTGCAACATGTTCTGATTACATATTGACTAAATTTAACTCAATTTGTGCTTTTTATAATAACAATTTGAATCATGTGACCCTGTATCTACATAATGACTAATAATTTGACATGGGTCAAAGCTATTTTCGGGTTTTTTGGCCGCGATCTGTAGGTTATTATTATTATTGGTGAGCGTGGCTTGATTTCTCTTAACTGGATTACCTGACCTTGTTTGTCAACCTTCAAGGATAGGTAGCCAGATTTTATTAATGTTCATTAGCTCTCCTATTGAAATCGATCCCTGTGTTTTTGATTTTCTATTGCCTCTCAATATACTTATAGATAGTAATTTTGAGTTTTGTCGAATATTACTGTATCTCCGAATGAGATAATGTGAATGCTTGAATCGACTAGAGATGATTTGTTGGTTTGTTTGAGGCGACAATTTTTCTTGTGTTCATAGAGACGGGTCCCTAACTTATTATCGTGGCAACAATGTAGACCGACTCGTAGCTACAAGGAATCCGATGGATATTTTATAAATCCAAAGAACGCCTCCAGAAACTTGAACTATTGATAGACTTACTGTTGGATTCTAATATGGAGTAAAAAATGCACACCTTTGAGTGAATTTTGGTCTAAAAACCAAAATTTTGGTCTTGAAATTCTGTATAAATAATAATGTATCTATAATAAAGGTTCATATTCTTCTAAGAGATGACTTATTTTTTAGATTGTGATACAATATTTTGTTTTCTAGATGAAATCAGAAATCTGTTTGAACCAAATGGATTTGAAGAAGTGGAAAACAAGGCGGACAGACGATTGCAGGTGAACAGGGGGAGGTTATTAAAAATGTACAGAGTTTGGATTCAGGCCAAATATCGCAAAATAAAATAAATGATGATCACGATGTTTCTTACTTACCTAGCTGACTAATTAGAAATTTTTGTGATTATAGTAAAATTTATACTATGTTCTTTTCTTTTAAGAATAAGAAAAAAAACCCCAACACGCCTATGAGAAAAAAGGTTTAAGTTAATTTGACTGTTTTTTTTTATGTTTCTTCTTTCTGAATATTGATTCAACTTGTTTAGGACAAGAGGTACGTGAAGGGAATGTTTGTTTTACCACTTTTACCATGGCTCAATATACTTATGTCGTGTATGTATGCAATGAAGTTTTCACTATTCATACCATGCAACTTAAAGAATCGATCCAAAAAGTGGAGATTGTTCGGAGGTTCCCTGAAGAAAGTGACTGTCCTTCATTGTGAATATTGATCTTTCACACGTTTTTTTATCTGTGAAACGTACTCATTCTTTTGTTGACAGGGAGACCCAAGGTATAAAAAAATCAGCCAAATTAAAGGAAACCACTTTTCCTATTAGGCGTGTTTTGGGGTCCTTTATGGAAATTCTCTTTTCAAATTTGGACAGGAAAAAAATGAATTTATATAAAAATTATGATGAAGAGATGGTCATTGTTAGAAATGCTTTGTTAGGTAAAGAAGCAATATTACTGGAGTTTTTTCCCAACACCAAATCGTTATTTTTAACACCTCGACACATGTTTCGATCATCAAGTTATCATCTGTTTAATTACAGTTTTAATCTTCCTCTTTGAAGATTGGTAATCGAAACACGTGTCGAGGTGTTAAAAATAACGATTCGATGTTGAAAAACTCCAGTAATATTCATTACTACACCAAAGGTTCCAAACAGTGCATCATAAGTAAAGGAGCATTTAACTTTTGCGGAATATTCCTCTCCGACATTTGCAGGTTTGTAGTCGAAAATCAAAGCCCAAAGGTATCATTTCTTTTCAAATAGAAAAAAGGTAATTGTGAAATAATTTTATGGGTTTCTATTGTTGAATTGGATCGTTCAATAACAGGAAATTCCAATGATGAGTTTATATTTTAGTCATTGTAGTTTTTGTCAACGCCATCTTTTTTCAAGAAGTAGAAACTTGATAGCTAATATATTATACAGGTTTCTATAATTTTGAATTTCAACACTGTTTGGTAGAAAACTTCAACTATCGTACAATAGATGGCCATATAATGTGAAAGATTCAGATAATCCTCATGATTAGCGGTAATCAAAACAGCTAACTTGGTATTGTATTTTGAAGGTTTCTCTAATTCAAATTGATATCCTCAGTGAATTGGTAGAATACAGTACGCTAAATAGTAAACAATTGAAGAAGTTTCTTAGTTCTGTTAAAACGAGGGCATTGAAGGTGATTGTGAAACAATTTTGAGTTCCTATTAATTTTCTGGAAATTTTTGGATTTCACAAAAGGATGAATTGTTTAAATACAGAATCTGATTTTGTTCTGAATAGAAAAATATCACAAGTGGTATACCAATTTCATTTTCTTCAGTAATGGAATATATTTTAGATTTATATAAGCGCCATCTATCCTCAAGCAGAAGACTGATACAAGTAACTTGGTTCCTTTGTTTTACAGGATTCTTCAATATAAACCCTCAACTAGGGGGTAGATAACTTCAGCTTCTGTACACTTAGATGCCCAACCAATAAAAATACATTTAAATACCGAGTAGAAATAATCTTTTTATTTGGAGGCCATTAAAACAATTTTGTGATTGGATATTATTGTCAGTCCTTGAGAATTGGGTCAAAACTATTCAGGATTCAATTTGAATATTCTTGTTTTTCAAAGCGAATTACTTTCTCGACAGATAAGATATAAAAATTTCTCTTCTATGATCATTTTCATAAATCAATTAAGAGAAATATATTGTATTCAACCTACGTTTCATTTACCAAGTTGGCGTCTTCAGGAGATGAAAAAACTGATTGATGCATCTCCGGAAGACGCCAACTTGGTTGGCAAAACGCTCATCAAGAAGAATACTGCAGTTCTGGTGATTTGGATCTAACTTATAAGATACTTACTGGGCAGAAATAAAAGACTAGCAGTTTTTCCAACAAAAAGTTTTATTTACTTCTAAATAAACATGTTCCATCCAAAAAAATAACAAACATCAAGTACCACTTATTCCGAAGCTCAATAAAGTTCTAGAATGAAAATATAAATACTCTTTAGAATTGACCTTCGGAACAAGGGAGGCTATTCTGGTGTACTGTTACTCTCGTGTAAGGCTTATAAAATCACATCACATGATTAACTCTTTCGACGGACACAACATATCGAATGACGATAACTTTACGTTAGCGTTTTTGAAAAACCACTAACTCGGCACAATAAAACGAGGGAATAGACCAACGACATTCATTCCTGCTTTCCTAATTCTATTTTTTCGCTGTATGCAGCATGTACACTTTCACAGACAAATCGGTATTGACTCTGAAAAAAAAATCATAAACTCAAAGCAAAAGGAGGTACATTAATAAAATCCAATTTAATATTACAACTTTTAAAAAAATTAGAAATCTAAAAAAAATAGATGACGCAGGGGGAAATAAAATGTTTACAAGACATAAAAAGGATAAGGAGTGCATGGTAGATATAATTGAAGATAATTATTGAAATTCTTCAACTCCTCAAGTCCTTAGTATGAAAAACTAAAATTATTTCATTATTCTATTCCAATAGTTGAAAATGACTCGAAATTATTTTCAATTACAATTTTCAACATAATGGTTCGACATTATTTGAAACACGAACTATTAGTCAATCCAGAGGCTGAAATTATGAAACTGGAAAGTGTGATATTTGAGATAAATCTTAAATGATGCGCATTAGGTTTAGAATTTACTCAGTCAAAATTCCAAATGAAATCATCCAAAAACTAAGTTAGCTTGTCATTATGAGCTCTGTGCTTCCGTATAATTCTGCGACACGGTCATTATTTCAAAAATTATGATATTAGGAGCTGAAGGAATATATGATCACCGATTAATATTAATTTCTTCCATACAATACTTACAGCATTTTGTATCATCATAGCTCGTTGTTCCCTCATCGTTTTGACGATCTCCAGCGGATAGATGGGCTCGCCTGCCTCCATGAGACACAGCGCTGTCTCCATCAGCACCAGCACCCCTGTCCTGCCGATGCCGGCACTGCAATGCACGACGACGGGGGCGTCGTTCCTTCTCGCCGCTCGCACCCTTTCGGTGAAGTTCAGGAACTGCTGAGGGGAGTCTGGCACACCATGGTCTGGCCACGCCACGTACTGCATGTGTTTTATTTCTCTACTCCTGTCGTTCTGGAATGTTCAACATTTGTTGTCAAAACTAAATAATTGACCAAAATAAGGAAAAATACTACACAATTTTCACAATTAATTTTGTTTAAGACGCATTTCGCTACACGATAACTTCATCAGTTAGACTGGTATATCAAACCATTTTTCAATGTCTTTTATAAAACGCAGAGGTTCTCAAACTTATTTTGTCTACCGCCCACTTCGAGAATTAATTATTTTCTCGCGCCCCCAATTTTTTTTACTTTACTACCATCTCAAGAATCACAATAGCAGTCATTTGTGTCATGTGAACATAAGACTTTCTGATGAGGGTAATGTAAAACATCATTTTGTAATAGTAGGAAAACTTTTATTCGTGTTATTGAAACAAACATTTCAATTTGAATTTTATATGACTCAGCGGGCGGGCCTAGTACTTTCGAGAATGGAGACTAGAAACTTATCGCTTCGCATTGAAGCTTACAGCCATCTATTGTACAGTTTGACAACTATCGGACAGGAAACAAACAGGGATACAAATAAAAATAATGTAAAAATTAAAAGTATTGCATATACTCTGTAGAAATAAATGAATATCTATCTATCTATTTCTTTATGCAAGACATTATACACCAGCAAGAACTTCAAATAAAACGTGTGAGCTGTAAACAATACTGTTTGTTGGTAACACTCATATCATAAATAGCTATTCCATATATATGTTTTTGTCAACAAGAAGCATTCTTATGCACAATAAACATGTGTGCAAACATACAAGATCAACTCACCAACTGTTTACTTGGAGATCTGACGAACTTCCTCTCCAGAATACCCCTTTGCTTTACTTCCGACACTGTCTGAAATTCGGTTCGACCAGAATACGTAAACTTGGACCCCAACGACAGGGGAAATTTCCTCCTTATTCTCGGCGAATGTAACCTGAAGAAAGTGTGGTGTTCCACACAAGAAACTACAGTGCGCATTAAGGTTCAATTCTTGATCTAATACCACTCCCAGATATTTAAAAGTTGTTACCCTTTCAATGATGACATTATCAATATAAATATTCAATGACAGCTGTTCATCTTGCAGTTCTCTTAAACGATATTTGCTACCTATTAACATGCATTTTGTTTTATTAACATTTAACTTGAGGCCGTTATCACATAACCACTCGTTTATATTTAATAGTTCCTCATTCAACCATTCTGAGATTTCATTAGTTGTCCCAGAACAGTACAACATAATGTCGTCGGCAAACAGTTTTATCTTATACCTTTTAACATGTATCACAATATTATGTATGTACAGCAAGAATAGCAGTGGACCCAATACTGACCCTTGAGGGACTCCAGAAAATACATTTAAAGTACTGGATGTCACTTGATTATATTTAACTAACTGCTTCTGATATGTGAGGTAATTTGTTAAACATTTTAATACTTTATAATCTAGTCCATACTTATTTAATTTCATTAAAAGTAACTCAATGTTGACCGTTTCGAATGCCCTTTTGAAATCCAGAAAGACAACACCTATAATACGTTTTTTAGATAGCTCAACTTTCCACGAAGAGATTAGAAATTGCAGTGCAGTTTCACATGAATGGGATTCCCTAAATCCAGATTGTTCTTTAATCAAAATATTATGTTTCGCTATAAATTTCATCAATTGCTCTTTCACTGTGATTTCTAATATTTTCTCATAAATTGGCAGGGTATTTATGGGTCTAAAATCAGATCCTAAAATGGTGTTTGTAATTTTTTCAATAGGAACGATGGTGGCAATTTTTCAACCGTCAGGAAATTTTCCAAAGTCCAAAAACCTATTTCCCAGTATTTCAAATGTTAACTTGATTATATTCAGATTAATTCCATTGTCATCCGTATTATTTTTCTTGAGGGAAAAAATAATCTTTGATTCATAATACATTTTAGTTTCAATTCGTATCTTTTTGGTAACGAAATTACGACTTATTTTATATTTATCCCAGTCACATTGTAGTTTGGTTTCCTTGGCTTTTGTATGAAGAAAATCGCGTTTTTTTAGATCTGCCATGATTTCGTCTGTAAACCACACTTTCAATTTGAAATTATTGAAATTATGCTGTCTTTTGAATGGTGTTTGACTTCCAATCCAAGAGAAGTACCAACAACACAATTTTTTATTTGATGAATGATATTTATATAAGATTAAATGTTGGTGAAGCTGACGGAGCTTGTTCTGTGATCCATTCAAAACTTTTCCTTTTCCCAAGACTGAAAAAATCCAGGAAAGCAAGGCTTTTTGCGGCGATTGAAGAGATAAAACCCGAATTTCTGAGAGAGCTCAAAAACATACCAAAAATTGAACAGACTTCCTGTTCAAAAATTCAACTAGTGCCAAAATAAGTATGATTATACCGAGGAGTAATAGAAATTTACTACCAAATCAACAATTCTACACAGCTCAAATTAGGCAACAGATTACAGAAATGTCGAATACCAAACATCATTTACAACTTTAATACTCACAAGGCAATATATCCCTATACCGATTCTTGTTGATGTTGTGCGGTTTACAAGATTCGTCACAGGTCAGATCGGGGTGTTTCCTGTACAACATTTCATAATGCGCTATCAAAGCCCCGCTAGCTAATCCGTCGGCCAACAGGAGCATGCTCTGCTTCAAAGCGTTCCCTGGAGAAAGAGGCTCCGACGTTTCAACAGGGACATACTGAAACGCAGGTTCCTCGAAGTCTTCATGTTGTTGATACAAAACATTTGGTCTCACCACAAGAATAAGTTTTCCTGAAAAAATATAACTTGTTTTCTCAACACTCATTTCTTGAGCGGTACTTGATTAAAATCCATAACTTTATCAATTAACCCGTTGCGAGATTTTCTTCTTCAAACAATAAACCAATCAAATTGAATTTCAAAGCTTTCTCTTCCAAATGTAATACGTCATAGTCGTGTTTGAACCCATGTCCCTTTGTCAAAATATGGTTTGCAAATGGAAATTTATTGTCTTCACATTCAAGAAACTACTCCTACGTTCTTTTATTCTTGGGTATGAATTCTTCTTCTTTTGGCCAATATATACTCCTGATCTATCAGACACTGAAGTTTTCTCTATTGGTTTTCAATAAATTTCCTCAAAGATTGTCGTATAGGACAGGAATATATAAGTCGACCTAAAACTTTATATTGGCCAAACAGGGAGGGCTTTTTTCCAAAGAATAAAAGAACATAGGAGTAGTGTCTTGAATGTGTAGACCAATTCCAGCTTTGGGAGAGAGAAAGAGATATTCTTTATTTTTTGAAGAACTAAAATTCTCAATAACAAATCGTATGTTATGTTGATAGTTTAAAAGTAGACACATAACAAAACACATATCAGTCAGAAGATAAACCTGAATAATTTAAAACGAGACATATAACAAAACATGAATTAAAACTAACCAATACAGTTTATTGTATGATTTTCACTATAAAGGTTTTTACGAAAACCGCGACACATGTTCCGCTATACAATAGCTTTCTCAAGCGTTAACTTTATAGTGAAAATCATACAATAAACTGTGTTAGTTAGTTTTAATATGGATTTTCATCAAGTATTGGCCAGTTCTATCCAATTAAAATATGAATTAGTCAGAAAATAATGAACGAAGGTACATCATATCAAATGCTACATCATACCAGGGTACATACAATTATTGGAATTGAATCTAATTCAAAATAATTCATTGAAAAAGTCAGAAGCTCAGTAGTATGGATTATCACTGAGTAAAGTTTTTTAAAGATTAATGAGCTTTCCCTCGTAATTTACCTAATCTCCAGGGGTAGATTGTTATATATTTTACCATTTTATATAAGAGAGTCTTTGACAAGATTTAAGGATGGAATAGATAATCTAATATATTCCGTCTGCCAAGTACTATAATTTGTTTGGATCGCTTCGAAGCTGTTGATGTATTTTCTTATCCGTTTGCATGCAGTTTCCAATATGAACAATTCTACTTCTATCAGGATTCTATACTTAATAAATAATTGTCGACAAGAATCTCGATTTTTTGCTTTACGCATGTACCGTATTTCTCGTTTTTGTTGGATTGAAAAGGCCTGCATGTAGTTGTTATTAACCCTTCAGAAGGTAATGCCACAATGCAGATGAGATTCCATTAGTGAGTGATGAACCACCTTTGCGTTGGAGAGTCCCTTTGCGTTGGATAATCTGAGTTATTTAATATGACACAAACATCCAGATGCTAGTTCGCTTTTTAGAGCCTCATTACAATTATCGAAATTCAGCTATCAATCTGTAATACCAGGAACGTTGTATGACGTTTGTTCTCAATTGCCTCTTCTAGTGGCAAGATTGGTCTTGGAGGCATCGAAAGAAAACTTATTTGGGTTACACCATTTTCTGATTACGTTGACATCACTATGGTGATGGTGTCATCGGCATACAGTGTAAAATTTTGACATTTGGCAAATCATTGATATACACCAAAAATAATAGCGGGCCCAGCATTGAGCCTTGAGGTACGCCAGTCTTCATATATGCTCTTACACAGAGAATTCTTGTTTTCACTATATGGCTTCGACCTGATATGTAGGAATTACACCATTAAAAGGCAACTCCTCTAATTCCGTAGTGCTGAAGTGTCTTTAACAATATTTCATGATTCACATAGTGGAACCACGAATTCATTTTCTAATGTGGAAATTGGTGACTAGTTTATTACATGTCCGTGAAATGAGTTGTTGAAAAAATAATTGTATGATGTTCAAATTTTCAATTGGTTTCTACCTAAACTCAAGTCGAATTGTGAGTCATTGATTAGGTAGAACGTCATATGATTCAAATTGTTATTACATTAAGCAAACAATAATTAGTATGGAAACGCCCAGTGAAAATCTTACGATGAAGTTACTTGAATACATTTCAATGGTGTTTACATGATTATACTTTGGATGTGAGAAAATATCGAACACTTCAGGTAGAACCCACTAAAACCCAGTATAACTTTTGTAGACAAATATGTATTGGCAAAAATGATACCCTGTTCAATTGGAAAAAAATTACCTCCATTCGTCGATCGAGCTTCCTGTATGAGCCTCACGACGTCCTGATGAAGAGCATGCGAAACGTCGTGCCCGTTGATTTGAACTACTTGGTCACCCTCACTAAGTCTCGGGGTACATTTGTCAGCAGACGTATTCGGAGCGACCCTCGATACCAATATCGGTACGTCTATTTCAGTGCCACCTGTAACAAGACGATTCCAGATATGATAATAATAATGATCATGCTAATTTAATTAGATAGATAGATTATCTTTATTAGTCCTTTGGTACAAAGACCCTTACGGGTGTAGAACATGTCAATGTATAAAGGAGTATGATAAAAATTACAAAAAAATAAAAAATAAA